GGGTCCATGTTGATGGATCTCAGATGTTGGTGACCAGTTTTCCGGGTCCATGTTGATGGATCTCAGATGTTGGTGACCAGGTTTCGGGGTCCATGTTGATGGATCTCAGATGTTGGTGACCAGGTTTCGGGGTCCATGTTGATGGATCTCAGATGTTGGTGACCAGGTTTCGGGGTCCATGTTGATGGCTCTCGTGGTTTTGTTTGCAGAGCGTCAGCGGGGTCATCACGTGTCTGAAGATCATCACCAGGAAGAAATCTACCCGAATCGCCAAGTTTGCCTTTGATTACGCCACGAAGAAAGGGCGCTCCAAAGTGACCGCTGTGCACAAGGCCAACATCATGTGAGTTCCCGGGGACAGTGGTCCCATCGCTCTTCTCGGGGTGTAGGACGAGGAGCGCTCAGGTGGGCGGGGAAACCTCTGCCTCATTATATGGTTCCTTCCTCCTGGGGGAGGTCCGATTCCTGCTGGGGGTCCAAGGCGATCTCTTCCTCTGATGGTGTAGGACGAGGAGCGCTCAGGTGGGCAAATCTGATATCATTAATGAGCTGTGGGCAGAACCCTCTATTACTGGGACACGCCCACATCTGATATCAATGAGCTGTGGGCAGTTCCTCTATTACTGGGACACGCCCACATCTGATATCATTAATGAGCTGTAGGCAGTTCCTCTGTTACTGGGACACGCCCACACCTGCATATCATTAATGAGCTGTAGGCAGTTCCTCTATTACTGGGACACGCCCACACCTGCATATCATTAATGAGCTGTGGGCAGTTCCTCTGTTACTGTGACACGCCCACATCTGATATCATTAATGAGCTGTGGGCAGTTCCTCTATTACTGGGACACGCCCACACCTGCATATCATTAATGAGCTGTGGGCAGTTCCTCTGTTACTGGGACACGCCCACATCTGATATCATTAATGAGCTGTGGGCAGTCCCTCTATTACTGGGACACGCCCACATCTGATTTCATTAATGAGCTGTGGGCAGTTCCTCTATTACTGGGACACGCCCACACCTGCATATCATTAATGAGCTGTGGGCAGTTCCTCTGTTACTGGGACACGCCCACATCTGATATCATTAATGAGCTGTGGGCAGTCCCTCTATTACTGGGACACGCCCACATCTGATTTCATTAATGAGCTGTGGGCAGTTCCTCTATTACTGTGACACGCCCACATCTGATTTCATTAATGAGCTGTGGGCAGTTCCTCTATTACTGGGACACGCCCACACCTGCATATCATTAATGAGTTGTCAATCAGGAATGATGCTGTACAGGGGGAGCTCTCTGTGATGCCGGTCATGTGACTTGGGAATAATCCTGTGATCTGTTTCCACCAATCAGGAAGCTGGGTGACGGACTGTTCCTGCAGTGCTGTAAGGAGGTGTCTGAACTGTATCCCAAAATCCAATATGAAACGATGATCATCGATAACTGCTGCATGCAGGTGAGGCCGGGGCCCCTCCTCCACTGGGGGGCCCTCACCCTTCACCCTCTGGTGGGAGGGGCAGACTCCATGTCTTGTAGCACCTTCTATGTGTCACCCTATGGGGGGAGGGGCGGTCTCCATGTCTTGTAGCACCTTCTATGTGTCACCCTATGGGGGGAGGGGCGGAGTCCATGTCTTGTAGCACCTTCTATGTGTCACCCTATGGTGGGAGGGGCGGAGTCCATGTCTATGTGTCAGCCTATGGTGGGAGGGGCGGAGTCCATGTCTATGTGTCAGCCTATGGTGGGAGGAGCAGACTACATGCCATGCATCCATGGGAGGGGCGGGCTCTGTGTCTCCTGTCCCATTGTGTAATAATTGGGCGTTTTCTTCCCCGCAGCTGGTACAGAACCCATATCAGTTTGACGTTCTGGTAATGCCGAATCTGTACGGCAACATCATCGATAACCTGGCGGCGGGTCTGGTGGGAGGAGCCGGCGTGGTGCCCGGTGAGAGTTACAGTGCGGAGTATGCCGTGTTCGAGACGGTGAGTTCGGGAGGGGGGAGGGGCTCTGGATTGTTCATATGGATTCCCATCGTTCCCACAAACATTGGATAGTAAATGGTGATCCGCCGTAGCAATCATGCGCCCCTTGTTCTGTCTCCGCAGGGGGCCCGTCACCCCTTCGCCCAGGCTGTGGGCCGGAATATCGCCAACCCCACCGCCATGCTGCTGACCGCGGCAAACATGTTACGCCACCTGAAGTAAGTGACCCGTGTATGTGACTCCGCCCTGTTAGCGGCCATATTGGGGTGTTGTGCGGCTCGATTTGAGTCTATGAAAGGATCCCGTGCAGGGACAAGCTGTGATGATGTCGCTCCGGGCCCTGGGCCCCGTGTTGGGGGGGCGTGAATGGACGTGGTGACGTGACGGGTCTTTAATATCTTCATGACTTTATATAAATATGTCTGCCGATCGGGAATGACGAGTTCTCTTTATTTCCAGCCTGGAATATCACTCCGTCCTGATCACCGACGCCGTGAGGAAAGTCATTAAACTGGGGAAGGTGAGAGACTGACCTGCCGGGTATTCCTTCTGCTGGTCCTAATACCATTCTATACCGGTGTCTAACAGGTTAACTCCACCCACTCTATCGCCAGACT